TCTATCTATCTATCTATCTATCTATCTATCTATCTATCTATCCACCCTTCCACTTATCCTCTCTGTCATATCTATCTACCTACCTACCATATCTATCATCTGTCTATCATCTATCAATCATCTCATCTCTCCTATATCATCCCCCCCCTCTGAATTTTATATACTCCACTAACTTATCTTTTCTTAAAAATAAAACCTGTCCTAAAAGGTGATCATCACCACAGCTCTGATGGGGAGCATTTTTGTAAATCCATTGTATATTGCATAAATAATTTCTTCTACCTGCTAATCCTATTGATAGGAGCAACGTTGATGGTTTGTGATGTGGCCACTCTGGCCATACCTTCTTAGCAGCCTCATCTCTTAAGCCTGTTCTGGGCTCCAGTTTGAAAACCATTCTGCATCGTGCTGTTGGTGTTCTCCTGCAGAATATCTTCCAGGCGACAGCGAAATTGTCATGGCTTGTGTTTCTTCTGCAGGGATAAGGGAAAGAGGGCTAAGTGACCTGGTTTCATATCACGGTTGTGTTATGGGTGTCTTTGTGGTTGAGGCAGGCTCTTAATTTCGGCAATCTGTTTGTAAATGTCATGATGTGATTGCCGTGACTTTTAAAAGGTAAGCAAGTCAAGGATTCAGAAGCGGTTGTGGAGATAATTGCTCCCGCAAGAACTTGGATGTAATGTGGCTTGTTAAGGCTGCGATGCCACCATGAAGACATTTCCCTTTGCAAGGACAGGTGTTCCCCTTAATACTTAAAAGGAAATGGTGCCTCCTCTAATCCAGTGTTTCTCAACCTTGACCATTTTAAGGCATGTGGACTTCAACTCCCAGAATTCCACAGCCAGCATTGCTGGCTGTGGAATTCTGGGAGTTGAAGTCCACATGCCTTAAAATGGTCAAGGTTGAGAAACACTGCTCTAATCAAAAGAGAGCCAGACCACCCTAGACCTGTTTAGGAAGACATGGATGGGCCCAGCTAAGGGTGGGAGAAGTGGTCCTCAAAAGGTCCCCATGAAAGCTCTTGACCGGAAGTCTTGCAAGACCTCCCGGGCTCCTTGTTCGGATTCATCCCCAGGCTCAAGACACATGGAGAGAAAGGCAGGTTTACAGCTTTTATCATTCACTTTCTGAACTAAAAGCTTGACTCTCGCACCGTTCTCCGATTCAAAATCTAGCTGGCAAAGCTTGGTTGGAGATCCAGATGATCTGAGACCAGAAGCCCCATCTTGCACTCTATCGTCTTCTGTGTCCTGGCCCTGACAGTTCATGTCCTATCAGTACTAGCGCTGATGAGGTCACCTAGTTGGGTCATGAAACGTCTGCACGAAAACAATCAAGCTCAGAGAACACCAAGGATCCCCTAATCCTCTTCCTCCTCCTCCTCCTCCTCAACCCTTCTGATGATGTCACTTAGTTGGGTCATGAAACGTCTGCAAGAAAACAATCAAGCTCAGAGAACACCAAGGATCCCATAATCCTCCTCCTCCTCAACCCTTCTAACACTGATGATGTCACCTAGTTGGGTCATGAAATGTCTGCAAGAAAACAATCAAGCTGAGAGAACACTAGGGATCCCATAATCCTCCTCCTCTTCTTCCTACTCCTACTCTCCACAAACCCTACTCCCTTCTAATACTGATGTCATCTAGTTGGGTCATGAAACATCTGCAAGAAAACAAGCTCAATACCAAGGATCTCCTCCTCCTCCTCCTCCTCTCCACAAACCCCACTTCCTTGTAGCACTGATGATGTTACCTAGTTTGGCGAATGAAACGTCTGCAAAAAAACCACCAAACTCAGAGAGCACCAAGGACCCCCCATTTCAACCCTGAGCTATAAATATTCTCCTTTGTGAGTTCACACCCACTCAGAGCTTTTGGCAAAGCTAAGATAACCTCATTTCACATCTCTTAAGTTTCCATTTGAACGCCCTTACCATATCCAGTTGATTGTGAGAGGTTGGACCACGAAGAAGTTTGAACGTCAAAAAATGGAGGCTTTCGAACTGTGGTGCTGGAGAAGACTCTTCAGAATCCCCTGGACTGCAAAGAGATCCAGTCGGTCAATCCTGAAGGAAGCCAACCCTGACTGTCCTTTGGAAGGACGGAGGGTGAAGCTGAAGCTCAAAGATTTTGGCCACCAGATGAGAAGAGAGGAACTTTTGGAGAAGACTTTGATGTTGAGAAAGAGGGAAGGCTGAAGGAGAAAGGGACGGAAGAGGAGGAGGACAGGGTTAGATGGTGTCATCGATGCAACGAATGTGAATTTGGGCAAACTCCGGGAGAGAGTGGAGTCATGGAGGCTGGGCATGCTGTGGTCCATGAAGTTGCAAAGAGTCAGACACAACATGTTTTAGTGACTAAACAGTGACTATATCCAGTTATCTGACTTGTTAGCCACTTGGCATTTTGAGAATAACATTTTTGAAATTAGAAGACGCTTGCTCCTGGGGAGGAAAGCTATGGCAAATCTAAACAGCATACTCAAAAGCAGAGACATCACCCTGCCAACAAAAGTGCGTATAGTCAAGTCCATGGTTTTCCCAGTTGCAATGTAGGGCCGTGAAAGTTGGACCATAAGAAAGGCTGAGCGCCAAAGAATGGAGGCCTTTGAACTCTGGTCTGGAGAAGACTCCTGCGAGCCCCCTGGACTGCAAGGTGATCCAACCAGTCATTCCTAGAGCAGATCAACCCTGACTGCTCCTTAGAAGGCCAGATCCTGAAGCGGAAACTCAAGGACTTTGGCCACCTAATGAGAAGGAAGGACTCCCTGGAGAAGAGCCTGATGCTGGGAAAGATGGAGGGCAAGAGAAGAAGGGGACGGCAGAGAAGGAGGTGGCCGGATGGAGTCACTGAAGCAGTAGGCGTGAGCTTCAATGGACTCCAGAAGATGGTAGAGGACAGGAAGGCCTGGAGGAACGTCATCCATGGGGTCGTGATGGGTCGGACATGACTTCGCACTAACAATAACAACAACAATATTGTTTCTTTATGCTGCACGATATGAAATCTTCCAGGATAAACTTTCTGTTTATAGGCCTATTTGGGTGGCTCTGTTGCACTTCCTTTTTCATACCCACAAATACATGGAGAGAAGAAGTAGATGTGATATATAATGTACAATCACAAATGAAAACAATTAATCCAGTGATAAGCCTCCAATTTTAAAGTGACTTTCTTTGAAAAGTCATCATGTTTCCCTTTTACGTGAAGCCTTCATTGCTCTGTCAGCCTTCCGGATTTAATGGGAATGTAATTCCCGTTTTTGTAATTAAAACAGCACGGTCGGTGAGTCCAAATTTTAATCCCAGTTGGGCAACCCTGGGTTGCAGAAGGCCAATTTCTTTATTGAATAGGCTGACCAACGCCCAGAGACTTGTTCAAGCATAACAATGTATAAAATCCATTATGTTGATTAAAATAATTGATCATCCGGCTTTAGGCATTTTTGGCAATAAAACGAAGCGTTGAGTTCTTCCTTGTTTTTGCAGTCATGGCTTTTTTAGCTTCAGCAATACGTTCTAAACTGCGTTTTCTCGGTCTCTAAGAAGCCGCGATGGAAAATATTTTAACTTTATGAAGCAGATGACATTGGGCACCCAATTTTTTTTAAAAAAAAAGAATAAAAAAATCCCAAACGTTGCAAAACCTGCAGGAACAGATGTATCACTTTTATTTATTTTTTCCACTCTTTCTCTGTGCTTTACAGCTTGCAGGCTGTTAATATACCCAGCCGTTATCCTTGCTTTTGAAATAATGTCATTAAATCTCTTTGCAACCTCAGTTATTTTCCTTCTGCGTACTATGACCCCCTTATTTTGGATTTTTCCAGTCGTTTTTAAGCCATCAACCATTTCCTCTCCTCATACTCCTTAATTTTATGACAACATTTTGGGCAAACTTGTCAGTTCTTTATAGCACAGGAAGAGAATTACGATAGACTTCCAACGGACATTGAACCAGTTGCAGAAAGGCGGGAAATTGAATTTCCATCATAGGAATATACTGAATTTTTCTACTGAGGCGTGCTTAGCTAACAGCCCTAATATAGTATAGACTTAGATTAAAAATAACTGCAATCTGTCAGGTGGACTTGTAGAAATATAAAAGCTTTTTGGATTAAGATTTGGTGGAACATTCAAAAGATTTTTAGGAGAAAGATAAAGTTTACTCCACAATTATTTTTATTGGGTGTTATTGTAGATTGTGATGTTAAAGAAATTAATTCGATGTTGAATTTGATAACAGCTGCAAGGTTATTGGTAGGGCAATATTGGAAGAAGGATTATTTGCCTACTACTGTAGAAGAATGGACGCTTAAAGTGTCAAATTTAGCAGAAATAGCGAAAATTTCTACTTACTTGAAGGATCATTCACAAAAAAGATACATTTCGGTCTGGAGAAGATGGATAGATTATATTCAGAATAAATATGGGACTAAAAAGTTCCATCTAGTTTATGAGTAAATTTTAGAGTATTATTATTATTAATAGTTTATTATAGTAGAATTTTTATTAGTTTTATTATTATTCTTAGTATTAGTATTGTTAACAATTTGGATATTGTATTGTTTAATAATATCAACTTGTTTATATTATTATGTTTATTTTTAATTTGTTTATACCTATGTTAAAGGGGAGTTAAAGCGCATTAAATGGTTATTTATATAGTTGGTTAATGTTAGTTAGAGTTTGATTATTATATTTGTAACCCTGTACTCAGCTCTGGGAAGTGGGGGAGGGAGAGGGGGCGGTTTAGGGTGGGTGGGTTTTGGGGTGTATATTGTAATTTTTATAAAACTTTTCAATAAAAAAAAGAATAACTGCAGTCTTACAAAGGTGATGCAAAAAAAATCCTCCGGGCTGAGAGAGTACCAAGGACCCTATAGTTACAGTCTGTAAGGCCAAACTAACTTACAACAGTTAGTAACTAATACTAATAGCTAATAACAATGAAGCTGAAAAAAAAAATCCTAACTCTTGTTTTTATCGTTCTTTCTAGAGAGCCAGACAGATGAAAAATCAGACAGCAGCAATAATGGTAAGTAGTGCCTCTGACCTCTGGAATACGAGGCTAACGGTATTCATGACAATTCTTCATTTTTAATGTTTGCGTTAGGCTACCTCTTCAAGCTTCGTCCAGAGTATAATGAGAGCCGCTGGGGTGAAAGTGTGAATTCAAATGCCTTCATTGCTCTAAATTGCTCTAAATTGTTAAAATGCGCTGTTTCTGAAAGAGAGAAGAGTTGCTTAGCATCTTTCCAACGATTTCTGAAACTTAACGAAAGCTTGTGCCAAGTGCATTTGGTGGCGTTTTAGGCACGGGAAGAAAATGTTCTTCGTTGCTTTCATTTAAATGCTAATAAGCAATTTGCCTCCCTTTGGGGAAAGTTAGGAAAACTCCAGAGACAAGATGTACGGTCTTTAACTGTTGTTTGGCAAACCAAATATCCCTTGAAGCGTAGCATCTGCAAGGCAGTGTCTCTCCACCTTGACTGCTTGCTGATGTGTGGACTTCAACTCCCAGAATTCCTGCCGGCATGCTGGCTGGGGAATTCTGGGAGTTGAAGTCCACACATCGTCAAGCTGCCAAAGTTGAGAAAAGCTACTGTAAGGTGTTATTATAGACCAGGGGTCTTCAAGCTTGGGAATGACTTGGGAATTCTGGGAGTTGAAGTCCACAGGTCATAAAAGGGCCAAGTTTGAAGACCCCTGTTATAGATTATATGTGTTAATCCTGTTGTCTTTTTTTTTTTTTTGGTGACTCCCTATTAATACATGATATAAAAACTCAAATAGGAAGAGGAAGGAGACTACCTAATTCTCCTTCCTCCTCATATCTTCGCCAGAACAACCCTGTGGGATGGGAGGAGCTGAGAGAGAAGGACTAGCCCGAAGCTCATCAGGCAGCGTTCAAGCCTAAAGCAGGAGTAGGGAATGGAATGGAATGGAATAGAATAGAATAGAATAGAAAATATGGACTAGACTAGACTAGAATAGACTAGAATAGAATAGAATAGAAAATATGGAAGGGAATGGAATGGAATGGAATGGAATGGAATGGAATAGAATAGAATAGAATAGAATAGAATAGAATAGAATAGAATAGAATAGAATAGAATAGAATAGAATAGAATAGAATAGAATAGAATAGAATAGAATAGAATAGAAAATATGGAATGGAATGGAATGGAATGGAATAGAATAGAATAGAATAGAAAATATGAAATGGAATGGAATAGAATTGGAATGGATGGAATAGAAAATATGGAATGGAATAAAATAGAATAGAAAATATGGAATAGAATAGAATAGAATAGAATAGAATAGAATAGAATAGAATAGAATAGAATAGAAAATATGGAATGGAGTGGAATAGAATAGAATAAAATAGAATAGGAAAATATGGAATAGACTAGACTAGACTAGAATAGAATAGACTAGAATAGACTAGAATAGAATAGAATAGAATAGAATAGAATAGAATAGAATAGAATAGAATAGAATAGTTGGAAGGGTCCTTGGAAATCTTCTAGTCCAACCCCCTGCTCAGGCAGGAGACCCTGTACCATTTCAGACAAATGTTGTCCAGTCTCTTCTTAAAAACCTCCAGTGATGGAGCACCCACAACTTTGGAAGGCAACCTGTTCCACTGATTGATTGTTCTGATTGTCAGGAAATTTCTCCTTAGTTCTAGGTTGCTTCTCTCTTTGGTTAATTCAGTCCGTTGCTTCTTGTCCTGCCTTCAGGCGCTTTGGAGAATAGCTTGACTCCCTCTTCTCTGGGGCGGCCCCTGAGATACTGGAAGACTGCTATCATGTCCTCCCTTGTCCTTCTCTTCGTTAAACTAGACATGCCCAATTGCAGCAACCATTCCTTGTAAGTTTTAGCCTCCAGTCCCCAATTCCTAGTCACCTGGTTTCTGGGCCACACCTGAGCAACTAAATCAAACTGACTCTTTACAATTTAGCCATAGAAGATGCGTAGTTTCTAACCTGAAGCCCACCAGTCATTCTCAGATGCGATATCTGATTGATAGATGAGTTTCTTGAAAAAAAAAGAAATCTGTTAGCAAATGGCCATTTGCAGCGTGAAATGAATGTTTTTGTGCTGTGTCTTCAGCAAGGAGCGGCTCAAAACCTTTTAAAAAACCCACTTGCTGTCTTGTTAATGTGACTATTTCATTTGAGATTTCTCTGTTGGATTAGCCTTATCAGCATGAAAGGAGGCTGAAACCCAATTTAATGTTCCAAAGGATACCGCTGATAGTTCCCAATTTCTCTTCTTTGTGTTCTGGAGTCAGGACATAATTTTTTATTGTATAGTACAATCTCTCTCTCTAAATTGTTTCTTGGGAAAGAAAGAACAGCTGTAGCATTTACTCTGTTGTGTTTCATTGTTTTGAGGTTTAGGTTTTGAAATACGCTTTGGAAATGTCCTTTTTGAGTAAGCACAGCTGCTACCGTTCAGCATCTGCCATTTTGTTGTGCTATGTTGTTCTACATCAGTGGTTCTCAACCTTTTTAATGCCGCGACCCCCAACTGGTTGTAAGTCGAGGACTACTCAACCGGTCGTAAGTCGAGGACTACTCAACTGGCGCAGCACCGTTTGCAGAATGGGACTTTGGTGGGCTCAGCAGGGCAGAGACAGCCTGGACAATTCCTGTTGGCTTTTGAAAGCCAATAGAATAAAAGGGAGTAGCACAGCTAAGAAAAAGGGGGGGGGAAATGGCGGACTGCGTTGTTTGGCGTGAAATGGTCGTTCGACCCCAAATGGGGTCCCGACCCACAGGTTGAGAACCACCAGTCTACATAATTCAACAGAATCGCTTTCTGTTGTCCTTGCTGATTCTGCTTTTCAAGGATTTGTGCTTTTGTATCGGTTGTGTCCTAGGTAAAAAATATGGTGGTTATCAACGTTACATGGAACAGGTTGCGTTATATTGTTTACATGTGGTTAGCCATTAATGCATATTATCTCTTTTGAAGCAATTGGGGGGGGGCTAGCAGTTTGTGGGGCCACAGACAATCCTGATATCCCCTATTTTCCTCCCCCCGATAGCTACTAAATACAAGATCTAATCTGAGTTGGTCACCAGGACCAGCGGCTTCATTTTCTGAGTTTTGGTACTCATGCTTGAGCCCATCTTCAGGAATCTTCTTTCTACTGGAATGTGTGCTTTGGGCTATTCTACGCGTCGTATTTACGGGGTGTCTATGTTTGGGTGTGGCTTCTTATTGGTTGATTGGGGTGTTGATGGCCGACTAGTAAGTCGTTGGCTGTTGTATCCTTGTGCTGTCAAGCCCTCACCTCCTACGTATTTGATAAACTGATGGTAAATCAGCCCTCCTGTTTCCCAGGCTTCAATCGCTTCCCTGGCTGTTTTTGTACCTGCTTTTCCAACAATCTTAATAGGTGCAAAATTGAATGTATGTTCATTGCAGTGTGAGGTGACCAACGAGTTTGGGTCGCCTCGTCTGATCGCTCGCTTGTAATCTGGTAGTTAGCTTCCTCCCCTACATAGCCCTAGCTAGTCACAGGGACAATCCATTCAGGGGATCCGGTAGATTACATTAGGAGTACCTCCCACCTCCAAGCAACCATTGCAATCTTTGCTACTAAATACACTCCGTGGTTTGTTAGCATACCTCTAGGAGTAAGCATACAGATGTAGGAATACTTCTGCTCTACAGCCGTCCTTCCAGTTTGCTCCACGGGGTTCCCCCCCCCACCTCCAGCATTGTGCCCTAACCTTTACTGGAAATCTGACTTTATAATAGCTTATTCCCTAACTGAATCTCTTTGCACATTTCTTTTTGTGAAAACATAACTAACGATATAGTGGTTGCCTAAGCATCTCCTTTGGGAAGCTTTTTTTTTTTTTGCTCTCCTATTCAACATTTTATTAGTTTTCTGAGTTTACAATTCATAGGTGCCTAGTAAACAACGTGTTGTCTGGGTCCGTTTGTTTTATTTAACAATGCATATAAAATTCCTTAGTGACAGATTTTATTTTCCTGGGCTCCAAGATCACCGCAGATGGGGACTGCAGCCACAAAATTAGAAAGCCATGGCAAATCTATACAGCATACTAATAAGGAGAGACGTCACCCTGCCAACAAAAGTGCGTATAGTCAAAGCCATGGTTTTCCAAGTTGCAATGTACGGCTGTGAAAGTTGGACCATAAGAAAGGCTGAGCGCCAAAGAATGGAGGCCTTTGAACTCTGGTGCTGGAGAAGACTCCTGCGAGTCCCCTGGGCTGCAAGGCGATCCAACCGGTCAGTCCTAGAGGAGATCAACCCCGACTGCTCTTTGGAAGGCCAGATCCTGAAGCGGAAACTCAAGTCCTTTGGCCACCTAATGAGAAGGAAGGACTCCTTGGAGAAGAGCCCAATGCTGGGAAAGATGGAGGGCAAGAGAAGAAGGGGACGAGAGAGGTGGCTGGATGGAGTCACGGAAGCAGCAGGTGGGAGCTTCAATGGACTCCAGAAGATGGTCGAGGACAGGAAGGCCTGGAGGAGATCAACCCTGACTGCTCTTGAGAAGGCCAGATCCTGAAGTTGAAACTCAAATACTTTGGCCACCTAATGAGAAGGAAGGACTCCCTGGAGAAGAGTCTAATGCTGGGAAAGATGGAGGGCAAGAGAAGAAGGGGACGACAGAGAAGGAGGTGGCTGGATGGAGTCACTGAAGCAGGAGACGTGAGCTTCAATGGACTCCAGAAGATGGTAGAGGACAGGAAGGCCTGGAGGAACGTCGTCCATGGGGTCATGATGGGTCGGACACGACTTTGCAACTAACAATTAAATTCCTAACGAGAAGCTGTTTTTTTGGGGGGGGGCCTTTCATCGTGAGTTAGATTTTGCGAAGGATCGTGTGTCGGCATAAATATTTGTGGACGCGTGAAGGGGACGTGGTCCTGTTTGCCTGACTGCCCGTGGCGAATTGGCCATCTGTGTGGCGCTGCTACACAAATGGACTTCTCTGCTCCCGAGATGTTCCATTTAAATGTCACGAGGTCCCTGCAGAACTGAGCAAA